GGTCCGTAGGGACACGTTCGTGGAGCCTGCAAGGAGGCAGTTGCTTCTTTTTTGTGTTTCTCCGTCGTCTTTTGTTTGTTTTTTCAGTACAAGTATCCACATAAAACAGACCACGTGTTACAATGTAGGCTAATGGTTTGACAAAAGTCTGTGTGCTTGTTTGCCCTGAGAGAATGTTTATTTGAGTTTCATTAAATACTTACACAGAAATAAAAACCCGTCGTAAAGCCAAATCAAATGCCTCTAAAGCACAACCCTCGTCGCGACATTTCTCCCTTTCATTACACTTCATCAAGGTATTTCAATTTCCAAGTGGATAGTATCGTAAGGATCCGTTTATGTATCGAGTTTTTTTTCTGTGGTTGGGGTGAAGTTAGGTGTCTGTTTTGTTTTTCCCCGTTGTGTTTAGATCTCAGTCACAGTTGCGTTATAACACGTTCAAAGGGTTGATTTTTTCTACTCTTCCGGGAAATTTAAAGTGAGGATGTCCCCGGATTTTGTATGGTGTCTCCTCTGTCTTACTCTTTTTTTTTAGAGTGTTGGTTTTGTGTATGCAGGCTAAAAATTCTTCTTATGTGTCGTTAGTACTGGCACCTTCTGGGTGTATAATAGCGCGCGTGGTGTTTGTTGTGTTGTCCTTACAGTCCGATGAGGTGTGTTGACGGGGGCGAGCGGTCCGACGTCGTCGACCCCGCCGCGCCGTGCGGCCCCTTGGAGAATTATTTCGTCCACATACAGTACCCGTGAGGGTTATGTGTAAGCATATTTTCTTGTGACAGGGTTGGTGTCGTGGCGGTGGTGTGTTGTGACGTGGACTGGTGGCGGTATTTTCTCGAAGTTTGTGTCTTTGGTGTCCACTCTGGACGTGGTCCGCCCTCTCATCTTGACTTAGACGTTTGCCACGGTCACCGTCAGAACATTTGGGCTGCCGTCCTTATTTAGACACCCGCTCATCTCGTAGGACTTTGTGCTTCGTCGTACTGTAGTATGGTCGGACTACTATAAGAAGCGGGGCTAGGTGGGGCCGCGCTGTGGTTCTAGAGTGGGTGGTAAATAGACCGCTCTCGTCTACTGTTGTTCTTGCCACTCTGTTTTTCGGTCTTCGTGGCTCCCCCTCTGGATCATTCTGGATGGTCTCTCCTCGTTTTGGTCCTGTGTAATATTTCATTCTGTTTTCCGATGGGTAACTCGTCGTCATTGTGTGTGCGGTTCTCGGTCCTTTCTTGTGTTCTTCATGACGTGCTCTCGACCACAGGGGGACGACATTCGGTACATGTACAGGTCCGGGCCAGACTTCAAACGATCTCTCGTAAATCTACTAGGTCTTCTCCTAACCTCTTACAGTATCCGTCCTTACTTTGGTTTATCTTGAAAAACCCTTTTTGAGTTGATTGCCACAAACCTCTCTTTCTTACGACCTCAAAGTCAGGTTTCTGTGGATGACACTTTGTACCCCACCTTTGTAGTACGAAACCCGCACAAAGCGTTTCCCTGGTCCTGCTGCTAGGCACTTTCCTTTCTTATTCCCGGTACTACATCTAAAACTCACTGTTGGAGGAAGGTAGGTCGCTCCTGTAACTCTACTTTGACACCGACCAGAAAGTCGTACTGTTACTAGGGTTTGTGTCGTCAGGGCCCGTTGCTTCCTCACCGAAGCATTTTCGTAAGTTCCAGGACGTCACGGGATCGGTCGCGGTCATAGAGTTGGGGGTATCTTTTAGAACCTCCCTCACTTTCAGGGCACAACGGGTCGTTGTCGGGGTTTTGTAGTGACGGAGATCTCCTCTAGACGTACCTCCTTACCCGGCTTTATGGGTCGTTGTACTTTTTGGAACACTTCTGACTGTCTTTTGCACGGAGCCAGTAACGGTTGTTTTCCCATTTATATTGTTTCATAACTCTACTTGAAAACAATAACTGGTTTATAAATAAAGGTTGGATATTAACGTTTATTTAAGAAATTTTAAGTCTTTTGGGGTTAACTAAAAAAAAAACAGAGTAAACAGAGAGTATTCAATTCATATGGTCCTACTTTTATGTCGGGGAGAAGTAGTAAAATTCACCTCTTTTGAACGTGTTAACCACCCCGGCTCGATTCTATGCACAAAAAAACGGGGTGACATATATGTTTATATATTTTTGTAGCAGTACTTCACAAAACGAGGTTTTATGTGTTTGTCTAGTGGGTAAGATCGGTACGGAGTATAGGGAGGTAAAGTGAAGGACAAATTTTTCATTGACCTAACCCTCATTTTCGAAATTTTTTCCTCCCCGCCTCCGAGTACCGCCCCTGGCGCCGTCGATGACAGATTTGATTTATGACGCCACTACTTTTGAGGTTAGTACCTAATAGTTCCTATAGAGACTTTTGTACATACCTCGGAGTTTCCGAAGAGAGATCGCCAATATGGGTGTTCCATCAAGTAAGGAAAATAAAGGACGAAGAGTGTTTGTTACGAGAGGTCATGTCCATGAGTCTCACAATGCTCATTACTTTGTGGCTGATATCAATGAGGGTTTTGTCAGCCCGTACAAGACTATCGTTGAAGACTATCCTGGCACCCAGGGTAAAGTC